GTCGCGGACAAACGCCCGAGATCCCCAGACACGGAACGCAGACGCATCGCCAACCTTCCCCGTCCACAGCAAAGCTGGGGAGGTCTCCGGCATGGAGACCCTGGGCTGAAGGTTGATCTGATGCGCCGCGTACCGAACCGCAAACGGCCACAGAAAATGGGGGGCAGCCGCATGCATCATGGACGTACGGGCGACGTCCATGACCATGCCAATGCGGCGCTCAGCAATCCCATTTTGCTGTGGAGAGTCCGGAAGCGTGAAGGTCTGGCGGATGCCTCGTGCACGACAGTAGGCTCGCAGAAGGCCAGAGGAGAACTCTCCGCCTCTGTCAGAGTGCAGACGCAGAACAGGAAAGTCCGAGCCAAAGCTCCGCCTGAGCTGGAGACGAGCTGCGCGGATCCAGTCGATCAACACCTCAGTGACATCACCCTTGCTGCGCAAGGGGAAGACTGTGGTGTAACGCGAGTAGTCGTCAACCACCAGCAGGAAGTAGCGCTCGTGACCCTGTCCACGGACGCGGGCCGGGCCCCACACGTCCATGTGAAGCGTCTGCAGCGGGGCCTCTGTCGGAGGAAACTGGGAGGAGTGAGGGGTAGCCCGCTGCCGTCCCTCGACACAGGGGACGCAGGTAGGGCCTGGCCCCGGAGGAAGGGGAGGGAGGGACCGGGGAAGACCAGAGACAAGGACACGGGAGGCCATGCTCCGGAGACGAAGCAGGGAGGGGTGGCCAAGGCGGTGGTGCCAGAGGAGAGTCTCGTGAGACAGGAGGGGACATGAGCAGGGGGCAGACTCAGGACCAGACCTGGACGCTGCAGCAAACACCTGACCCGACGCAGCTACCTGACCAGACGCAGGGACTGGAGGAGACGCAGTGGTCAGTGTGTACAGGCTCGACCCTGGCCGACGTGTAAACGTGGCCAGGTGGCGGCCTGTCCGAGCGTCCGTGCAGTGGGTCACCCGCTGACTCGCAGGAGTGAACTGGTGGACCCCCGCATCCTGTAGGTCAGCACCACTCACCAAGTTCGTAGAGAACGAGGGGAGGTAGAGACCAGACAGGGTGCCAGAGGGGGCCGCCGGACACGGGAGGACAGTGGAGAAGTGAGCAAGGACAGGACCCCCAGAGGGGTCTGCCAGGGAGACCGCAACTGGCCGGCCAAGCGGCGTGAGTGTGGTGCGGTCTCGAAAGAAGGAGCGAGAAGCCCCCGAGTCAAGTGTGAAGGTGTGGGAGGCCGAAGCCGACGCAGAACCTGAGAGAGCAGACTCACCAGCACCTGAGGGAGCAGACGCACCTAGAGCAGCAGCCTCGCTAGCACCTAGAGCAGCAGCCTCACCAGTACCTAGAGCAGCAGTCTCAATGCCCGGGTCGGGCGGAAAACACCGGTAACAGTCACCCTCATCACTAATAGTCACAGTATACACGGCAGCAAGAATAGCATCAAAGTCAAGGTCAAAGACAGCTACACCCGCCCTAGACAGCTCACCCCAGCGGGGGATCTCTGTGGCCTCAGGGAACTGGTGACGCCAAGCGTCCGTGAGGCGGCCAAAGCAGCGCTGGCTGGAGTGCGCACCCCCGCACTGCTCACCCGCGCGGTCGCCGGTGCGCAGGACGTAGGTGCACGGACCAGCACCCCCACCCCTCTGGCGTGCAGTGTACCACTCACGGAGCTGCTGAGGGGAGGGGACGTCACGAGTGCGCTGCTGCTGCTGCTGCTGCTGGCGCTGACCACCACCGGAGCTGACCCTCTGCGCAGCACCACCCCGACCAGCTCCACCTCCTCCGCCGCCTCCTCCTCCACCGCCGCCACCTCCGCTCCCTCCGCCACCGCCGCTGCCTCCTGCGCCTCCACTGCCGCCACCTACACCTCCACCCCCGCCACCACTCCCACCGCCACCCCCACCTCCTCCACCACCTCCACCGCCGCCTCCACCGCCCCCGCTAGCTCCTCCAGCGCCCCTGCCCCCCTTGCCCCTGCCAGGGCGGCGTCTCCCGCTAGGGGTAGACGCTGCCCCAACCGACTCCAAACCAGCGAGGTCGGTCGCAGCAGCAGAGGCAACAGAGGGCAAAAGAGGGGAGGGGGAACACCCCTCAAAGATGGGGGTGCGAGGGTCACCACGAGAGGCTCCTACAGCGACTATGCTCTTTTCTGCTGCTAGGAGAGCCTTCTCGAGGAGGTCAACGGTGAGAGTGGTGGGACAAACCGAGAGGAAGTGGTCCCTGACTACGCGAAGGGAGTCAGGGAGACGGGTGACTATGTAGTAGAGGGTGATGTACATGGGGGGGGGATTCTTGGCGCAGAACTCAGCAGGAAGCGCAGCGCGGTAGCAAGTGTCACTAGAGCGGAGGTGCGTAATGAGGTCAGCGACTGTGGGAAAGGCAGCAAGGTCAGGGAAGAGGTACGGTAGCATGAGGCGGCTCAGTGCAGCAGTGGCAGGGGAGGAGTAGCGTGCAACTACAGCGTCGTACAAGGTCTGAGCACTCTTGTACTGGCTAAAGTGCGCACGCTCAGAGGTAGGGAGGTGGCGACGCACAGCAAGACGTGCAGCAGCATCGCGCGTGGCCCACTGTGAGCGAACGGTGGCGTCAGCATCAGCAGCGGGGGCAAGAGAGGCACCAGAAGTGAGGTCAAAGAGGGAGAGGCCGTCTGCTCTGTTGCACTGTAAGAAAAGCTGCAGGTCATCTATCCAGACGTCAAAGTCAATGGCCCGACCCTCAGTGTCAAAAGCGAGGACACTAGGGGTAGCCATGACAGCAGTAGACTAGCAGTGCAAACAGTAGGGCGAGGGCAGTGCTGTGAGAGAGGCGCTGCTCTTACCGGACAGGGCGGTTCGGGCGGCTCGGCTGCAGGGCAGCTCGGCGGCTCAGCAGCTCGGCGGCTGGGCGGCTCGGCGGCGGGGCGGCTCGGCTGCTGGGCAGGGCGGCTCGGCGGCTGGGCGGCTCGGCGGCTCGGCAGCTGGGCGGCTCGGCTGCTGGGCGGCTCGGCTGCTTGGCGGCTTGGCTGCTGGGCGGCTCGGCGGGGCCGCTGAGAGGGCGGCGTCCGGGCCGCTGGGAGGAGGCGGCGGGGCCGCAAAGGTAAGTGGCGGGGCCGCGGAGGTAGGTGGCGGGGCCGCGAAGGTAGGTGGCGGGGCCGCGAAGGTAGGTGGCGGGGCCGCACAGGTAGGTGGCGGGGCCGCGGAGGTAGGTGGCGGGGCCGCACAGTGAGGTGGCGGGGCCGCGAAGGTAGGTGGCGGGGCCGCACAGGTAGGTGGCGGGGCCGCGGAGGTAGGTGGCGGGGCCGCACAGTGAGGTGGCGGGGCCGCGAAGGTAGGTGGCGGGGCCGCACAGGTAGGTGGCGGGGCCGCGGAGGTAGGTGGCGGGGCCGCACAGTGAGGTGGCGGGGCCGCGAAGGTAGGAGGCGGGGCCACACAGGTAGGTGGCGGGGCCGCACAGGTAGGTGGCGGGGCCGCGGAGGTAGGTGGCGGGGCCGCGGAGGTAGGTGGCGATGGGCGCGACGGGCGCGACGGGCGCGACGGGCGCGACGGGCCGAAAGGGCGGCGCGACTCGGGCCGGCGCAAAACGCGCTCCGGGCAGGAAAAAAAAATTTCGTGGTGGTGGGCCCTAGGAATCGTTCCCATTAGGGAACCTGCTCGATACCATGAGAAGAAACGAGGAATGAAATGACTAAGTGAAAGTTGGGTACAAGAAGCAAACCCTAGAAAACTGTACCCCATATGTGCTACCCCACTATAGCCTACAGTAGCTATGTCATATAAATCTGACATCCCCGAGGGCGATGTCCGTAGTAGGACCCCGGTCTCGGACGGGTGTGGGGAAGCGAAGGTGTGGATGCGGCCCGAGAGGAGATCGTAGGCTCTGGATACCAAGTGTTACGAGTGCAATGGAGCGAGCGAGCGATAATTGCACTATTGAAGCAAAACAGTACAATGAGCGAGGGATTTAGCGATTACTAAATAGCGAAGACCACTGTGGTAACGGTAACGAACTGTGGTTGACGCGCGACGGACCTGGAACTGAGGTTGGGACTGTGGTTGGGAAATGTCGAGGCGGAGGCCCGGAGCGCGGGTTACCCACCGAGCCGTGAGGTCGGGGTGCGACGTGCGAAGGTGGCGGGAGGATTGTCGAAGCGAGGGTTGCGAGTGGTAACGGTGCTGAGTGTGGTGCTATAGTGATGTACGCGGTGAGTAGGGGGCGCGAAGTAAGGGCGTGTCCAGCGCGTACGTTTACAGCTCACCTCGCGCTACAGTTACCACTTTTTTAAATTGTAACCACATTTTTACATCTTTTTTGGACACGAACACCTGTGATACGTAAAACCAGTAACAGCCCACACGTGCGCCGAATCGTTAACATGACGCGAAACGCACGTAACAAACCTCAAAATCAGACTTGCACGCGTCCACGTTGCTACAGTGACGGCTCAGCGAAGTCAAGGCCGAATTTCGTGAGAATCTGAGGTTTTCGCGAAACTGAATCTTGCGAATATTTCTGGGAATCGAATTGCCACCCTTCTGGTTACAGATTTGTGCTGTCGCCACAGTCGCGCAACATGATGTTCGGCTTGTGCTGAGGGGCGAATTGTGTCTTTCCGCACATTTTTGGAAGCGAAACCAGAAGGGTACACCCGGCGGTTCTGTTTCTGTGAGTGATTCAAAATACGTTAAAATTAAGTAAAAATCCCAAAGTGTACGCGCTGGACACGCCCTAAGGAAAAGGAATTTCCCTTACAACTATCGAGTGTGGTGAGAGGGGCTGGGAAAAGACTTGGTCGCTCGTGACAGAAGTGGAGTGGCCCTGTAATTCGGGTTACCACCAGGTCCCTTCTACTATAAAGTTTTGGCACTAGCCCTGCCAAATGTATACCGCTGGCTGGCGAACACCGCCTGCGTGGTTACGCGATCATAAATGCTGCTTCTTGGCCCGTCCATCACTGATTGAGAGGCGGGTTGAGATGAATCAGCGCGCGCTTTTCCTAGGTGCCGTGGCAGTGGTTCTTTCCATCGCCATGGTGCTGGCGGGCCTCAGCTTGCGCGTGGCGCCCGCACCCCGTGCTGCACTGATGGGGGCCGCAACGGCATGGAACGGGGGTGTGGGAGGGGCAGTGATGCAAAGGAGGGAGAGAGATCAGGAGAGGGAGGGAGGAAGCGAGGCCGGGAGAGACGGGGAGGGCGGCGACGAGTGGTCGCTAGGTAGCGACGAGCGCTTCCTTGTGTACGCGTCGCACAGCGGCTTCAACAATCAGGTCCGTCGCACGCCCCGCCGCGCTATCAACGCTCTATCTTGGGGGCGCCTAAATAGCCGTTATTTCAACGCATTGCGGCAAGGCTGTGTCCCACATTCGGTGGCTCAATCTTGTTACACGCCCTGCCGCCCCTCACTGACCCCGTCAATGAAGCCCTTCCCTCTCCTCCCCCCACCCGCCTGCCCCCTCCCCCCGGCACCCGGCTGAAGGTGTTGGGCTTCACGCGCGCGCTGCACATGGCGGCGCTGCTGAACCGCACGCTCGTCATCCCGCCCAAGCTGCCACACAAGTCGGGCTCGGGCGGCAACCTGGACCCGGCCACATTCCGCGACTCCGCGTGGGCCGTGTACTCGCGCCACCTGCTGCGCGCCGTACGCCGCGCGCCCAGCCCCTAAGCCTGCTTCCTCGTCGATTCACATTCGCACGCGCTGATGTGCATTGCGCTTTTCCTGACGTGTGCGTGCATGACCGTGATGTGCACTTGCTAACGCCCCCATGCCATGTCCCCTGTGCGGTGTGCGGGGTGCGGGGTGCGGTGTGCGGAGTGCGGTGTGCGGGGTGCGGAGTGCGGGCAGGACTACGTGTCGATGGCGGACGTGCTGCGAGTGGCGGCCATACCGCCCACCGTGGTGCGCACCATCGACCTGCGCCACCTCGTTGCTCGCCTCTGCGCCTGCGACGTGGCCGTGCCGTGCTGGACGGCCTCGTGCCACGGGCTCACACGCAACACCACGTCCTCGCACCAGGTACTCACGCCTGCCTCGCTGCGCCTCGCCCACCCGCTACAAGCACGTGCGCTACAAGCACGTGCGCTACAGCGCTCACCACGCTGCTTGTGCGGCTGGCTTGCGCGGGCGCAGCAGCATGAGCATGCGGTCAACGGGTGTCAGCTGCTGCCGTATGCTCACAGCAGGCGCGCGCGCCTCACCACCTGTCTGCATGCTGCTTGCCCGTGCGTCCCATCCTGCCAGGCGCGTGTGCGCTGCCTGCAGCAGTGCGGGGCAAGGCTGGGCGCGGCGCCCCTGGCGCGCGCGGGGCCGTGGGGCGCGCTGGACGCGGTGTGGGGCGCCGTGCATGGGGCATGGGGCGCAGAGACGGACGTGGCAGCCGCGTGGGAGGCGCAAGGCCTGCTGTACCGTGTCCCCCACATGTGTAATGAGACCTTGTGGACAATCGGCAACTATTCCAGGTAACGACTCTGGGCTTTCTCTGCTCCCGCTGCTTGTCCATTGCCCAGGTATGATGGCACCCTCCCCACCACGCGCCCACCGCCTTTCCCCCCCGCCCTAAGCCCTTCCCGGTGCAATTCCGCTGAGGCCCAGGGCGCAACTGCGTTCGTGCTCCAACCACTGTGCACAACCCGCATGCTTGCCCCCCCCCTCCCCCTCCCCCCCTTCCCCCTGTGCGCGCATTTGTTTGCAGCCTGCGTGCGTTGCGTGCGATGGTGGGAGACAGGGCGCAGTGGCCGATAAAGCGGTGCATGAACACGGACGTCAACGAGTATCTGCCCAAGCCCACGCCGCTGCACAGCCTGCTCATGCCGCACACTGCCAAGGTCACTGCTGCCACTGCCGCTCCCCCTTTGATCCGCCATGTGGGCGCCCCACCCATCGCCTAGTGTAGGGCAGTGGGCTTGCATGCACTTGTGCCAACTCATCTCGTCTTGTTTGTGATTGCTCGTGCGAGCGAGCTGCTGCATGTGATGCGTGCATGTGTCTGTGGTGCCGGGGCCTCTGACTTTGAGTGCGCAGGTGATGGCGTTCGCCTCCATGTTCCGCACACCCATCGCTGATATTCGCCTCGACTTTGGCCCTCGCGTCAACCAAATACGACAGGTCAGGCACGCTGCCCGCACCTCGTTGCTCCACAGCCCAAGTACCTGTCCTTGCTTTTTGCGTTCGTGCTTCTGTGCTTTTTGTATGCCGTGCTGTTTGCGCGTTTGGGAAAGTGCGTGCACAGTGTGTGCTGAAATGACTTGTGCACGCATGCGCGCACATGCCGCACTTGCTGCGCGCAGGGCTCTCCTCTGAGTAGTGGAGCGAGCTCTGCCCGCCGTGCACGCACGTCAATGCCTGCACCCAGTGTCCAGCGCTGTGCTGGAGGGGGCAGCTGTGAGCATGGGAGTGGGGCGTCATGGGGCCATGGCATGGGACTGCTTCTGTCGCGCACTGTGTTGGGTCATTGCTGTCGTAAGGGCCATGACCATGTGAACACGCACATGACTTTATTGCCCACTCGCCTCTAGCCCTAGTAGGGCTTGCACTAAGGGCAAGGGAATGGGGAGTACGTGAGTGATGGGGTGGTTGCCACGTGGCGTGTATACAGTAGGCACGAGCAAAGGGTCGCGGCCCACCTGCCGCGAGGACAACCCGGAGTGTTGTTTCTGGGTGGTCAGCCTGCCACCATTTGCCTCGGAGCCCATCTCATGAGAGCGGGCTGGCGTGCACTACGCAGCCCCCTGAGTGCCGACTTGCACTGGCCTCTCACAGGCTTGCCCTTGAGGAACCCTGCTGCAGCCCCATGATAGAGCAACATTGTCGACGCTGAATGCGCCTTGGCGGTTGGGTGGGCGCAATGCACGTGTGCGCAGCGCAGTGGTTGGTGGCGCGGATCCAGTGGGTCGGGGTTCATGGACCAAGAGCCAAATCCATCAGCGCTCTCAGCTTCTGCCCCTTGCGCCTCGTCACGACCCGCACTATGTCCGACTCGGGCCCACCGTTGCCCGTCCGTTGCAGAGGCTGGGCAGGTGTCAAGGGAGGCGAAATGGCCTGAATTTGACCCGGCAAGGCTGACGGGCTGGGGAGGTTCGTCACGGTCCTGATTCAACCCTTGCTCATGGGTACAAAACAGCACGTAATGCTTACAAGTGGAAAGTGAGGATAGTGGTGAGGATTGAATGAGTGGAGGGCGACTAGACATCACACGTGCTCTCCCTGGAATTTTCACCAAGATGTGAAGTGGCAGTGGAGGCAAGCATGCCCTTGCTGTCTCCAAGGACGGGATGACCGTGGATAGGTGTGCATGTGGAATCACCTCTCTTGCATTGTAAGTGGAAACGGTTCAAGCAAATGCGCCTTTCAGTTCTGCTCGCTCTTCATGCTTTCCTCTGTCCCCTTGGCATCGTTTCCCCTCCCGCCTGTGAGGCAGGCCGCCCTGCCTTTCTTCTCGCAGCTTATACTGGACGCAGCTGCCGCGTTTGTGAGGGAGCACTTGCCGCGGGCGTATGCATGTGTGCACGTGCGGGGCATTGAGCCGCCGTACAGCACAAAACTGAACGCCACACTGCGGTATGCGGGGAGGAAAGCATCATCGTGTGCACATCCGTGTCAAGGCAACGCTTGCCTGCTGCTCTCCACTGTTTCAACTCCACATCAACCATGCCACGCATGCCCATGTCGCCACTCTCTGTGCTCGTTCCTCCCCCCCCCCCCCCCCCCCCCGCCCAGCATAGCAGAGGCAGCCGTTGCTGCCATGGTGCGGCGGCATGGCAGCGGGGCAGGGGGGCGGGTGCCTGTGTTCCTGATGACGGACCTGGACCGTCCCACCTGGCACGCACTGCTGCTGCCGCGCGTCACTGCACTGGGAGTGCGCGTGGTGACTCTGGATGCCACACCATTCGCAGCGCGCATGCATGATCTCTCGCGCGCCCTGCGCCAACAAGGGGCCGGCATCAGAGCCAACCGCCTTGCACCTCCCCCACAGGTATGCCACTCCTCAGCCGCTCTTGACTCGCTAACGCAGCATGGGGTCTTGATGCTCTTAGTGCAAACATACAGCTCTATTGAATGCAGTGTTCTCGTGCTGTGTTGAAACATCTCTGCTAGAATAACCATCATGGCTGACTTGAGGGCATGGGCGCGGCACATCAGTACGCACGGCGTAGTGCTGCCCCGTGCACAGCAGGGGGTACCACGATTAGAATGTGTGCACAGCAGGGGGGCAGCATGAGTGCGTGCACAACAGGGGGGCAGCATGAGTGCGTGCACAGCAGGGGAGCAGCATGAGTGCGTGCACAACAGTGGTCATGAGTGCCTTGATTCTCCGCTTCACCCACCTCAGCAGTTCCTATGGAAACCCTGTTGTACGATAAGATACCGGTATGGTGGCATGCTCGGCTTTCCCCGCTTAGCATCTCCTTTCTGTTGCTAAATGCGCAGGTTAAGTGGGGGAATGATGTGGCGTACAACAACACGAGCTTCAGCACCTACCCGGCAGGGTTGCCAAGCGAAATAGCAGACATACAGTTGTTTGTGGAGCAAGTTGTGTGCTGCTATGCATCCCTAGACACCATAACTACTGCCGGATCCAGCACAAGTCTGCTAGTCTTGCTCCATCAAGCAGCTGGCCACTGCAGTAAACTTCCAGACCTGTCGTGACTTGTCCAAGGTCCAGAATTAGATTCCCATTTTTATACTGTGATGCCATACCAGCTGAGTAATTCTTTGAGTACCAACCAGGTGTAAGTGCATTACTTACCCTTATGTTTCGTAATAATTGTAAATGTGTTTCTGCAGTTCATGATTGCTACTACGTATGTGTACTAAATATCCTTATTCCTAGAGTAGGAAGCGGAAGTGTTGATCGACTAATAGGGGAAGGGGTACCATACCACCCCAGATATAAGCGCAGGTGCGCTTATAATAAAACATTGATTTTTAGGGGAGTCCGGTTATAATTGAGTCACGGTATAAGCGCATGCGCTTGTAATATGTAAAAGAATGAAATTGACTTTAAATTATACCAAATTGAAGCCCATAGTAAGGGCGTATTCCATGTTTGTCGTAGGGCAACGGTTCACGTCGAGTTGGTGGCAACTGTTCCCCAAAACTCAGTGGGCCGGAAAATGCGCATGCCACCAACAGTGCGATGAACAGTTGCCCTATCACGAACATGGAATACGCCCAAGGCAAATGCAGCCGACCATGCATCACGTAGGGTCGTGCATGAATTCCAGGCGAAATAGCAGTGCGCCTCAGTTTCCCACCCCACACTTACGTCTAGAAGCATCGCACCCGCCAGCGATAACGCGAATCTTGCCGTGCGGCCCAATCACGCGCCATGCGCTTCGTGACATGTAAATTTCATCCGAACCCTCTCGAACGGTGCTGAAGAATTTCTGCCAGCACAACGATTGTGCTGCCGCGTAGAGTCCTCTGCGGATTCAGGTGGGGGTTTCCCACCTACACCTGACGAGGACCCTGAGCCGCAAATCCAGCAAGGGTCCCCTCCGTTTCCCATTTCTGCACCCCCACTTTCTGTTTTTCATTTAGTTTCTTGCTCTAGCCGGCCTGGCTGGCAAAGCCATGGCGGAATTCACCGGAGCGCGCGTGGCGATTAATCGACGATGGGTGGTATACCCGTCAGCCACCAGAGCCTCCTGAGCCACCAGCGCCTCCAGCGCCTCCTGCACTGCCTGCTCCTCCTGCTCCTCCTGCTCCTCCTGCTTCTTCCGCTCCTCCTGCTCCTCCTGCATCGGCAATCGGCCCATGCTCCAGCTCCTGCTGCCAGCTACTTTTGACAAGTGACTGTCTGAACCAGAGTCCAACAAGCCCGCCGATGTGTACGTCCCAGCTTCTCCGTCGGCACCACGATTGAGACGGGCCAAAGACTGCACGTAGGACGAGCCGGCTGTGGGCGCCAACAACGATGTTGCTCCCGAAGACGAGCCCCGTGGCAACGGGGGATGTGAGGATCTAGGATCGAGCTCAGAAAAGAGAATTGTAATTGAAGTGAATGAATTGAATGATCATCTGGGTACAACGCAAGGCTATATATAGGCTCGACACAAGGCCCAGTAACCAGGTGTTACGCGAAGGTTCCGCGGGTCGCGAAGCGTCCCGAACAGATCCTTACCGAATTCGGTAGAAGGCAATTCGGTGGCCGCCGAAAAGCCAGAATTCGGTGCACGCAACCTAGCTCGGTGCTATAACTATAATAAAATATAGGAAAGCACCTAGCCTAGGAAATCAAGCAATTCATGCATGCATATAATTATCCTATGCTAGAAATAGCATGATAAAGTAAAGGCAAGCAAGCATAGCTGGCATAAGCCGTCGTACTCTCACACGTCCCCCCCTCAAAGCTGGGTGGTGTGAGATACACCCTGCTTGACAAGATAGTCCTTGAGAGCACGGCGTGCGTTGCCCATATCAGCTTCTGCAACCCAACTATCCTCAGTGGGGTCGTATCCCTTCCAGCGTATCAGGAACTCGAGGGCCTTGCCACCGCGGCGCCGATGAGTGAGAACGCGCTCCACTTCGTACTCTGGTTCATCCTGTACGAGAACAGGTGGTGGTGGCGGTAGCTGCCGTCCTTGGAACTGTTGGTTGGGGTCCTTGTAGGGCTTCAGTAGCTGAACATGGAAAGCGTTGTGAAGCTTCCATGTATCTGGTAAGCGCAAGCGGAATGTAACTGGTGTCACCTGTGCCTCAACGAGAAAAGGACCACAGAAGCGAGGCCGGAGTTTGGATGGGAGGTGAGACAGGTTCAAGTTGCGCGTGTCAAGAAGCACCTGATCTCCGACTGCTACTGAGTGATCTCGTCGCTGACGATCGGCATATTGCTTCTGGGAGTTCTGCATCGTGGTGAGACATCGCTGAGTCTTCTCCCATAGCTGCTGCATGGTGGTGACGAAGTCATGTGCGGCTTGGACGTGTGCCGGTGTGGTTGGCTGCTGTGGTGTGAGTGGTTCCCGTCCGTAACACAGGAAGAAAGGAGTTTTCCCTGTGGCCGCATGTGAGGCGTTGTTGTACGCGAACTCTAGGGTCGGTAACTGTGTGTCCCAGTGGCTGACGTCGTCCTTGCAAGCTGTGCGCAGTAACTGTTCAACCACTTGATTGAGTCGCTCTGTCTGTCCGTCAGTCTGGGGGTGGTATGCTGAAGAGATTGCAAGCTTTGTCCCCAACAGTCCCATGAGCTCCTTTCAGAACTTACTGGTGAATTTTGGGTCTCTGTCTGAGATGAGTGTAGCGGGGATGCCGTGGATGGTGATGATGCGGTCGAAGAAGAGGCGAGCAGTTGCTTCAGCTGTAGCTGTGGCGTTGGTCGGTATGAAGTGACCCACTTTGGAGAACTTATCGATGACTACGAGGATGGAATCGTGCCCCCGTGAGGTCGAAGGAAGTCCTGTGATAAAGTCGAGGCTAACGACCTGCCATGGCTGCTCCGGTACGGGTAGAGGCTGAAGTAACCCTGCTTTTTTCTGCTTGCTGCTCTTCATCCGCTGGCACGTGTCGCATGAGGTGACGAACTGCTGCACGTCTGCTGCCATCCCGGGCCAGTAGTAATACTTCGCTATCCCTGCTAACGTCTTGTTGCTCCCGAAGTGTCCCGCGTAAGGTATGTCGTGAAATGCCTCCAATAGGATCTGCCGTAGCGGGCGTAATTCGGTACCCAAATCTTTCCTGAACCCTTCCTTACCGCTGGGTCTTTCTCCCACTGTAACAGTTTCTGTTTCTCTGCCGTTGCTATCTCGCCGTCAACGGAGTACCCATGTTGGAATAGACCTTTGAGCAGAGGGTTTATCCCGTCGAGTTGGATGCCTACTACATGACCTGGGCGGCTCAACGCGTCTGCTTTGTTGTGTAGCCCGGGCTTGTAGACGATGTCGTAGTGGAAGTGGGTCTCCAAGAAATCCACCCACCGCACCTGTCGTCGTGAGAGCGTAGGCTGCGACTTCAGGTATTTGAGACTGCAGTGCTCAGTATAGACTGTGGTCTTGGCTCCCTCTAGGTAACACCTCCACACCTTGAAGGCTATGACAATCGCTAAGGCTTCCTTGTCATGGATGGGGTGGTTCAGTTCTGCTCCGTGTAGCTTCTTACTGAGGTAGGCGATGGGCTGCAAACCACGTCCGTGATCCTGCATCAGTACTGCTCCGACTGCTTGGTCACTAGCGTCTGCTTCCACCACGTAGTCTCTGTCTGGATCCGGTAGGATGACTACTGGCGTTGTAGTCAGTGCTCTCTGTTTGTTCAGTGCGCGGTAGTCGATGCACATCCGTAAACTACCGTCTGGCTTTGGAGTGAGGAGAACTGGTGCACCGTAGGGAGAGGTGGATGGGCGGATCAGTTGTCTGTCCAGTAGAAACTCTATCTGTTTTTTCATGTCTGTCAGTTCGGTCGGACTCAGTCGGTATGGTGCACGTGAGACGGGTTTCGCACCTGGTTCCTCCACGATCTCGTGCTCGTGGGTGCGTGCTGGAGGTACGCCTGCGGGTAGGTCGTCGGGCATTATATCCTTGTACTGCTCCAAGACCCCCTCCTCTGCTGCTGCCATAACCAGTGCTAAGTAACCCGTGTTACCCTCGTTCGCTGTCCGTTCGAACTGTGCCAGTGTCGTTTCATGAACGCTCCCTGTATCCGTCCAGCTTCGCAGCTCCACTCGTTTCCCGTTGTTGTAGATGCACGTTTTCCGGTTGACCTTGTCGATCTCGGGGTTGAACCGCTTCAGAAAATCTCGCCCCAAGATGAAATCTAATCCCTTGATGTTCGTGATCGGCAACGTCGGCTTCCACCTCAACGCCCCTATCTGCAGCTGCAGTGTTGACTTGCCGTGGATGGGAAGCTTCGTACCGTCCACCATCGTTGCTGTAAACTGGGTTTCTTCTGAGGATTCTCCGATTTTCTCCAACGTCCCGCGGTCGCACACCGAGTGGGACGCACCACTGTCCACCAGGGCCTGGAGGCGACGCCCGTTGCAGATCACCTCGAGTACTAGTGGTTGCTGCTGCTCCGAGTATCCGTCGATGGTATCGCTTGTAGGATCGTAGGGTACGTCGAATATGTTATCCCTAGGTCCTGCGCTCGAAGATGCAGCTTCAGTATCAGTTATCAACTGAGAAAGGTTAGAAGGATTTATCCAAGGCCGATTCGGCTTCTCTTGGGCCTGGAACCTTCCACTAAGCCTTTGCAGCTGTGTAGGCTTCATCTGTGGGGAACAGGGAGCCTTTAAACAGTGCTGCTGGGAGAGAATATTAACTCCTCGGAACGCTTGACCCGTATTA